GGGCCCAGTCAAATTGACACAAAACCTTAATTACCATCCCTTGTTTATAGAGTAATTTGACACTGCCAGGCACAGAATAAAGGAGCTCTGGTAGTGTAGTGGTTACAAATCGGGCTGCAAACCACAAGGTTAGCAGTTTGAAACCACCAGCTGTTCCACGGGAGATAGATGAGGCTTTCTGCTCCCGTAAAGATTTACAGCCTCAGAAACCCTGTACAGGGTCGCTATGAGTCAGAACCAACTCCACGGCACATAACCACCACCAGGCACAGAATAGTTTTGTGGTTTTTTAAAAATGTTTTATTGTGAATTGAGTGAAGGTTTACAGAGCAGATCATCAGTTTTACAGTCAACAGATCATATATTTCGTTTCATTTCAGTTACAATTCCCTCAATGTAACATCACTTGTCCCAATTCCTACTTGTTTCTATTCTTCCTTCTTTCTCAACCCTTCTGAATCTTCTGCTTAGATAAATGCTGCCCTTTTGATTGTGGTTGGTTGACCATTCTATGGTGTGCTTACCTCATTGGTGTTTCCTCTAAATATCTATTGTTTGGCTGGAAACTGAGAAGCACAGGGTGGGGGGGCCGGGGGAAGGAGTGATTTCAGCTTCAGAACTGAAGAGTGAACAAAGGTCATAGTCTTGGAGTTCCACCAGTCTCTAGCTGATCAGTAAACCTGGTCTTTATTAGGATTCCGAATTTTGTTCTACATTTTCTCTCATTCTATCCACGACCTTCTAACGGGATCCCTTTCAGCACAGTTGGTAGTGGTAGCTGGGCACTGTGTAGCTCTTTTGGTCTCAGGGTCGTGGAGACTGATGTTCACATGTTCCTACAGTTCATTTGAGTAACTGTTTCCAAGCATCTTGAATTTTCACCACTCTTCTTTCCTCTGTCAGGGAGAGACCAATAGTTGCACCAAAATAGATTTTGATAAATAATGATAGAATGAATAAAATTTGAATTCATCTTCACCCTTTATCTAGTTCTTGTTACATTGCAGAGATCCTCAATAGAAGGCTGATCATAGAAAAAGGACAGGTCCCCTCTGTTATGGAATGAATTGTTTCCCAAACAAATAATTGTTGTAAATCCTAACTCCTACGTGTATATGGGTTCAGAAATAGGAACAATTGTGAGGATGGCGCAGGATTGGGCAGTGATTTGTTCGGTTGTGTACAGAGTCACTATGAATTGGAATCAACTTGATGGCACCTAGCAAGTGCAAGTGCACAGGTAGAAAAAACCCTGGGGTGCAATGGTTCATTTTTGATGACTGACTAAAAAGTTGGTGGTTCAAACCCACCCAAAGACTCCTCTGGAGAAAAACTTGGTGATCTGTTTCTGTAAAGTTTGTTGTTGTTGTTGTTGTTAAGTGCCGTTGAGTTGGTTCTGACCCACAGTGACCCTGTATAGAGTTTCCGAGGAGTGGCTAGTGAGCTTGAACCACCGACCTTGCAGATCAAACTGACTTTGCCGCCCAGCTCATTAACCCACAGCACCACAACAGGACTCCTCTATAATGATTATAGCCTAGAAAACCCTAAAGGACAATGACATTGTCACATGGAGTCAATATAAGTCAAATATCAACCTGATGGCAACTAACAACAACATACATGAGAGAGCTTCAAAAAGTTTGTAGGGAAATTCCATTATCTTTCAATTCCTTATTTCCACAAACTTCCCACCTGGGAATGGAGTTTTGTTTGTTATATTAATGAGACGATATCAGTGTTGGGTATGTCTTAAGTCAATCAATTCTGAGATGTAAAAGGAGACATTTAGACAAGCAAGGACAAACTAGAGAAGACTAATGTCACATGGTAATCTCTCAGGATCTGAGGAAAAGTAGCTGAAGAGACATGGACCATCCCCAAGAGCCAACAGAGAGAGAGACAGAGACAGAGAGAGAGAGAGCCTTTCCCTGGAGCTGCTGTTCTGAGTTAGGACTTTTAGCCTTTTCACTATGAGGAAATAAATTTATATTCACTAAAGCCACTCGCTTGTGGTATTTCTGAAATCGTAGCACTAAAAAACTAAGACACTCTTCCAGCTGCCTCCCACTCTACTCATAAATGTCAACATGCCCCAGGCAAACACCACCAGGAACACTCCTTTAGTTGAACTCTGAGGTTTTTGTTCATTGCAAAGAAGCAATAGGGAGTGCTGGTGTTAGAAAGAATTTCTAGGACTTGGCTTGTGTTAGGTGATTTTGGGGGTGGGTTTAAGGAAGCAAGAATCCTTGGGTGGTGCAAACAGTGAACGTGCAAATGGTTAACATGATAAACGTTCGTAGTTGGAATCCACCTAGAGAGCCTCAGAAGACAAGCCTGGCCACTTCTGAAAAATCAGCCACTGAGAACCCTAAGGAGCACAGTTCTACTCTGGCACCATGGGGTGGTCAGGAGTCAGAATCAACTGATCAGAATCAAACTGATTGGCTTGCTCTGGATTGGAGGCTGTCACAAAGTAGAGCTAATGCTAGGATTAATTTTAGCTATATGATGGGAAGAATGAAGCAAAGCTAAAGCTATCATTGGGTTAGAAGCAACAGGCATTCATATTAGTCAAAATAGAGAAATATTTGGCCATTTATGTGGTTTAGCCAATTAATCATGTTTTTGTCTGTGTTCAGACAAAATGGTCATGTTTTTTTAACTTGTTCTAGTGTGTGCTGTAGGATAAGCACTGGACTGCAAGGTTGGAGGTTCAAGTTCACCAGCTGCTCCTCAGAAACCCTATACAGGGTCGCTATGAGTTGGAACCTACCTGACGGCACTTAGCAACAACAATCTTGGTGAGAAGGAACCTTGGTAGAATTGTGGATTGTGAGTTGGGCTGTTAACCACGAGGTCAGCAGTTTGAATCTACTAGTCACTCTGAGGGAGAAAGATGAGTCTTTTTGCTCCAGAAAGATCTACAGCTTCTGAAAACCTGTATAGGGTGGCTGCGAACCGGAATCGACTTGGCGGCACACAACCATCAGGGTAAGAGTGGTCTTGTTTGATGTTGATGTGATGTGAAATTATTTATTTCAACAGAACATCAAGCCCTGATTAACAGTATCAGACCAGCTTCCAGATGCCAGGGGCTGTTTTTCTTTTAAAACACACACACACACACACACACACACACACACACACACACACTCATTCTTAACTTTGTCTAAGCTGTTTCAACACCTAGAATGCTCTTTTCACTCCCCTAGCCAAAACCTAGAGTCCTGGTGTGGCGCGGTGGGTTAATGCGCCAGACTGCAAAGGTCGGAGGTTCAAGCTCATCAGCCGCTCCTCGGAAACCCTGTAAAGGGTTGCTATGGGTCGGAACCGCCTCAATGGCACTTAACAACAAGTCAAAGACTGGCCTCACCTATGAGGCTCATTGCCTTGGCCTTTGGCTGAAGTTGAAGATTTGTTGTTGTTAAGTGCCGTCAAGTCAGTTCCGACTCAAGAGTGACCCTGTATAGGGTTTAAACTGCCAACCTTGTTGTTCACAGTCCAGTGCTGATCCTACAACGCCACACAGGACCTCAAGCTCATTAGTCACACGCCTTCCCTCCTATCACTGCCCAGACTCGTCCCTAAGCAGACACAGACTGGGTTTGGGAAAGTCTCAGTTAAAAGCCGCGAGCTCCAAAGAGAAGGTCAGATTCGACGGAACTGGGAAGGAACTCGATACCAAGCGCAATGCTAGCGGCGGTGTTAGCGATGGGATGTGGGGGAAGAGCCCCAGTTAGTAGTCTCCACAGCAGCTAAGAGGACAGTTTTCCCCCAAGTCTTCTCCCAACCAACTACACTCTTTACGGACCAACCAATTCCAAAGCCAAAGCAGGCTTTACTACCAAGAAGAAGTGAGTGAAGGCGAGAACCAAAGCCTTGATTGGCACCTGGTCTCTCTCGACACCGGCCTGGCAACGCCACGTCTAAAGAGATTTCAAGTTTAGTGCCTAGCACTTGCAGCCATCTTTACTTCTGGCAGGTCAGCTGACTCGGACTACCTCAAGTACATCACACGGAAAATATCCCAAGGGGAGGGGGCATTCTACTCTTAAGCCCTCTCTCCTTCCCCCCCAAACACACACACGCACGAACACGCGCACGCACGCACACACACACACACGCGCACTCATCCCAGCTTCCCAGGGGTAGCGCGCCCCCGCCTTCCAGGAAGGGGTGGGGCTTCTCCCTGAGGGGTGGTGCCGGAACTAGAAGCTTGTTCGAAATCCTTGAGCTTATTTGGCGGGAAGTTGGTTTAGTTGGGCTACCTGTGACCTACCTCGCTTTCTTAG